GTGGCTGGCGCCTTAGCCGCTTGAGCCACAGGCGCCGAGCCTGCTTTCCTTTTCTTATACGGCAGTGTGCATGTGTCACATGTGCACAGGTGTGGGTGTGCATGTATGCAGTGTCTAGCCCTAAGAGATCAGGAGGCCCCTGCCAAATCTACCTGCAACCTCTTGTGGAAGACAGGGAAAACTGATGCAGGGAGGGATGGGTGTCAGGGGATAAGGAGGCAGCATGAGGAGAGGGACTGACAGAGAGGAAAAGGTAAAGGGGTGAGGGTTTTTTGAGACCTCTAAGCTGTCCAATAGAAAGGGACCTCCAAGTTCAACTTGTCCAACTCCCTGGCTTTACAAATGAGGAAACAGAGGCCCAGAGAAGTGAGATGGCTTGCCCAACATGGCACTGCTGCTTTGTGGCAGGGCGGCAGCTCAAGTCCAGATCAAAAGAAAGGGGACTGACAATAAATAAATAAATAAATAAATAAATAAAAAAGAAAGGGGACTGGAGGTGAGTATGAATTCAAGGCTCTAAAGAGACATTGCTTAGAAGAGAAAAGAGACAGACTCTACAGAATGAATTGACTGCCGTAGGCTGGCAATAGAGGACTGGAGTGTGGAGACACAGGAGCAGGATGGAAGGGACCTGGAAAGCATTATAGCTAAGGAGAGTCAGATTCCAGACCTAATCCTGTTCCTTATCAGTTTGGGTCTTAATTTCTGAATATGCCTTATAGGATCTTTTTGAAAACCAATCTCATAAACTAATGTTTGTAAAATACCAGCACAATTCTTAACAAGTGCTTAGTAAGTCTTTGTTATGGTTGTTGTATTACCTTGGAAGAGGAAAGACCTCTGGTTATATGGGTTGGGGTATGGCCAAAATGACCCTGTGAGGACATAGGCTCCAGTGTCTGCAGAGCCCATTCCTACTCTGTCTTTGCTGCCTGCAGCTGATAAACCTCTTATCTGGCCCAGGCAGGGGAGCCCAGGGCCAGGATAGAAGGAGAGGGCAGGGCTGCTATCAGCCACCAGGCCTGGGGGAGGGGCTGTCTGCTTGGCTCTTTCCACAACGTGTCTTGGGGATCCCCAAGCACATACTCTCATCTTGCGGAGAAAAGGCTGAGATACTAAAACTGAGGACATCAGAGGAAAGCAGGGACGACCTCTGATGTTACCACATCAGAAAACAAAATATAACAAAAAATCCAGATCTGACTCTGCCTCTGGCCAGAAAAATGCTTTTGGGGAGTAAGAAGTAGGGCAAAGAGAAGGCATCTTGTCTAAAAGAAAGGTAAAGACCTGCTGTACTCCCAAAGGAATTGACTATGGACAACTGTGGTAGATGAGGTGAAATCACACCACAGAAAAAAATTTCCAGCTTAAGGGGTTGGTTGATGATGAGACCAGCATGAGTGAAGACAGAGGGATCTCCTCTGTGGGAAAAGCTTGCTGACCCCAGCAGGAGCAGCTCTAATACTCTTCTTCCTTTGACACAGGTTTCTGGGGCCATTTGGGCTTTGGGGGAGTCTGGACCAGACCCTGGTCCAGTAGGATGCCCCCGTGTCCTCCCCAGCAGAGCAGGAACAGGGTGATACAGCTGCCCACTCCAGAGCTGGGCGAGATGGAACTGACTTGGCAAGAAATCATGTCCATTACTGAGCTGCAGGTGAGCAGCAAAGGGGAAAGGGGTAGGGAGTGGGGACGAAGGAAGAAGCAGGAGTGGAGTAGGGGGAGATCTGGAAGGAAGACACTGAGGAGAAGGGTGTATGGAGGAGCAAGGGATAGAAGTGGTGGGAGGGAAGGATCTGATTGTGATGTAGGCTTTCTTCACAGCCATTCATTTACATCTCCCTCTACCCCACCTCCTGCTCTGACCTCTCTCACTCACCTTTTTCTCTGCTGACCTCCCTCCACTCCAATCATGCCCTCTTCGTCCCTCATTTCCTCCCCCACCCGTTAGCAGCTGGGCCCCTTTCCCCCAGGTAGCAGAGCAGTAGTTCAGAGGCCTCAGGAAGGAGAGTCAGACTATGCCGGGGTCCTCTCCTCGGGTAATTGGACAAAGGGGTGACTGTTGGCTTAACAATGATGCCTTTGTCCCCAGCTGGGCTGGAACAGGGTGGCTTCCCGCCGTGGGTTAGGGGCCTTGTTTCCAGCATGCTTTCCCCTCCTCACTGCACCTGGGCAGGGACTGAAGGAGAAGAGGGCCCAACCAGTGCTGGCTCTCCAGTGCTTCTGAGACTCCAGCCTGCCCCTTTTTCCTCTCCAGACTTGCTTGTCTAGTGCCGTTAGCATCTGCCCTAGGCCCTCCGGCCACACAACAGCTCCCTCTGCTGGGCACCCAGGGCATGGCCAGGGCCTGAACTTGACCCTTTGACCCTAGATAACCACAAGGGGAAAGTGTTCTGAGGGATCATTTTGGTTAACAATAAAGAAATATTAGCTGGGTGTTGTGGCGGGTGCCTGTAGTCCCAGCTACTCATGGAGGCTGAGGCAAGAGGATCACTTGAGAGCCCAAGAGTTTGAGGTTGCTGTGAGCTATGATGTCATGCACTCTACCCAGGGTGACAAAGTGAGACTCTGTCTCCAAAAGAAAAAAAAAAGAAAGAAAAGAAAACCAATACAAAACAAGCAAACAATATATGAACTGTTTCAACCCAGTAAGAACTTCTCCTGAGGAGGAGGTTTCATAATTGTCCCAATGTTAGTCTTTTCTGAAGTCTGACCTCAGTGACTTCCATTCTTGATAAAGCTGCTTACTTCTTGGAACAGCTGCATCACAACCTTGCAAGAAGCTTCCAATGATTTTTGGCACCTTTCTCTTTCCTTTTTATTTTCTTACTGGATTTTTCAGAGGAACCCAGCTTGGTCTTGAGAGAGCTGGTTTCTCTTCCTATCTCCAAACCTCTTTGTTTCTTTCCTTGCAGGGTCTAAATGCTCCAGGTGAACCACCGTTTGAGCCTCAGCCCCCATACCTTGGACCCTCCCCACCTTCAACTTACTGCCCCTGCTCAATCCACCCAGATGCTAGCTTCCCTCTTCCTCCACCACCTTATGAGCTCCCAGCATCCACATCCCATGTCCCAGACCCCCCGTACCCCTATGGCAACATGGCCATACCAGTCTCCAAGCCACTGACCCTCTCAGGCCTGCTCAGTGAGCCCCTTTCAGACCCCTTGGCCCTCCTGGACATTGGGCTGCCAGCAGGACCACCTAAGCCCCAAGACGACCCAGAATCTGATTCAGGATTATCCCTCAACTATAGTGATGCTGAATCTCTTGAGCTGGAAGGGACAGAGGCTGGTCGGCGGCGCAACGAGTATGTAGAGATGTACCCAGTGGAGTATTCCTACTCACTTATGCCCAACTCCTTGGCCGCCCCCAACTATGCCTTGCCACCTGCTGAGAACCCCTTGACCTTAGAGCCCCCCTCAGGCCCTGTGCAGGCTAAGCCCACTGCACGGGGGGAGGCAGGGAGTCGGGATGAACGTCGGGCCCTGGCCATGAAGATTCCTTTTCCTACAGACAAGATTGTCAACTTGCCAGTAGATGACTTCAATGAGCTGTTGGCAAGGTACCCGCTGACAGAGAGCCAGCTGGCACTAGTTCGGGACATTCGACGGCGGGGCAAGAACAAGGTGGCTGCCCAGAACTGTCGCAAGAGAAAGCTGGAGACCATTGTGCAGCTGGAGCAGGAGCTGGAGCGACTGGGCAGTGAACGGGAACGGCTTCTTAGGGCTCGTGGGGAGGCAGACCGGACCCTGGAAGTCATGCGCCAACAGCTGACAGAGCTGTACCGTGACATTTTCCAGCATCTTCGGGATGAATCAGGCAATAGCTACTCCCCTGAAGAATATACACTGCAACAGGCTGCTGATGGTGCCATCTTTCTGGTGCCCCGGGGGACCAAGACAGAGGCCACAGACTGAGCTGGCCCAGATTGGTGGGACTGGTGATAGGAATTTCCTTCATCCCTTTCTAATAAAATACCCCCTAACTTTGGGACCCAGAAGGCACCCAATGGTACCGGGTGTCTGGGACCTCCCAGGTGTGTTTAGAAGCTTGCCTTGAGGGATTATGTGAGGGAGGGTATCCATCTCTTCCTTGACTCAGCTTCTCAGGTCTTTAACCTCCACCTTTTGTCTAAGCTTTGGTCTATAAAGTGCTGTACAGAAACAGACTTTGTGTCTTCCTTCTTGAGAGAGAGCAATGTCACCCTGGGTGGAGTGCTGTGGCATCATAGTGCATAGCAACCTCAAACGCCTGGGTTTGAACCTTCTTCTTGTCTCAGGCTCCTGAGTAGCTGGGACTACAGTACCTGACACAATGCCTGGCTAATTTTTCCTATATTTAGTAGGGACAGGGGTCTTGCTCTTGCCCAGGCTGGTCTGGAACTCCTGAGCTTTACAAGAGTGAGCCACCGTGCTCAGTTGAGCAAGCTCTTCTTGATTGCTTTGATTAGACACCAAAGCTTCAGAGGATTTCATCCCCAAACCTGGATAAAACCTGCTCCACAGAGGAGTAAAATATGCATTTCTATGAAACTTTCTTTTTCTGGTTATATGACCCCATTCTTGTTTGGCGGCCTTCCTTTCCTAGATTCTTAAAAGTTTTGCCTAGTCTGTTCTTTCTTCTTGAAACAGAATACAGTTGGACTAAATACCAGATTCTTTAGCTGTCTCAAAGTCCAATCAACCTCCTAAACAGGCTGGGTGTGGCTGGCTTACACCTATAATCCCAACACTCTGGAAGGGTGAGGGAAGATCACTTGAGGCCAGTTCAAGACCAGCCTGGGCAACATAGGCAGACTCATCCTTATAAAAAAATTTTAAAGGCTCAGCACCTGAAGCTCAGCAGCTAGAGTGCCGGCCCCATACACTGGGGCTGGCAGGCTCAAACCCAGGCCAGGCCTGCCAAACAACAACTACAACGAATAAATAGCCAGGCGTTGTGGCAGGCCCCCTGTAGTCCCAGCTACTTGGGAGACCGAGGCAAGAGAATCGCTTAAGCCCAAGAATTTGAGGTTGCTGTGAGCTGTGATGCCATAGCACTCTACCGAAGGGGACATAGTAAGACTCTGCCTCCAAAAATAAATAAATGAATAATTTTCAAAGTGGCTAGATATGGTGGTGCTTACCTGTAGTTCCAGTTATTCAAGGAGGCTGAGGCGGGAGGACCTCTTGACTCCAATTAGAGGTCTGAGATAAAGATGATCCCACTGCATTCCAGCCTGGATAATAAAGACCCTCTCACATCACACAATCTAGTTGCTTGGAGTTGAGTGTGTACCAACCTTCTGAACCACTAAAATTAGTTTACCTCTTATTCTACTGGCTTCACTCCAACATAGTTCTGATGCAAACACCACAGATGAAGAGTGATTAAAAATGTGGAATCTTGGTTCAGTGCCTGTAGCTCAACAGCTAAAGGTGCCAGCCACATACACCGGAGCCAGTGGATTCGAGTCCAGCCTGGGCCTGCCAAACAACAATAACTGCAACCAAAATAAACAAACAAACAAACAAACAAACAAACAACAAAAAACCCCCCTGGGCATTGTGGTGGGCGTCTGTAGTCCCAGCTACTCAGGAGGCTGAGACAAGAGAATTGCTTTAGCCCAAGAGTTGGAGGTTGCTGTGAGCTGGCTGGCATCCCTACTCACTGAACCACAGGCACCACCCACTTTTTCTTTTTTTAAGCCTCTTTCAAACATGACCTGATCCTCAATCTAAACTACAATTCTGAGACAAAAAAGTGAATCATCATAGTGAATTTTTTTTTTTAGAGATAGTCTCACTTTATCACCCACGGTAGAGTACTGTGACATCACAGTTCACAGCAACCTCCAGCTCTTGGGCTTAGGCAATTCTCTTGCTTCAGCCTCCCGAGTAGCTGGGACTGAAGGCACCCACCACAACACCTGGCTATTTTTTGTTATTGTTGTAGTTTGGCCGGGGCCAGGTTTGAGCCACCCTCGGTATATGGAGCTGGTGCCCTTCTCACTGAGCTGCATGCATCACCTGAATTTTTTTTTTTTTTTTTTTGAGACAGAGCCTCAAGCTTGTCGCCCTGGGTAGAGTGCTGTAACATCACAGCTCACAGCAACCTCCAACTCCTGGGTTCAGGAGATTCTCCTGCCTCCGCCTCCCAAGTAGCTGGGAGTACAGGTGCCCTGCCAATTTTTGTTGTTGTTGCAGTAGTCATTGTTTAGCTGGCCAGGGCCAGGTTAGAACCCACCAGCTTCAGTGCATGTGGCTGGCACTATAACCATTGTGCTATGGGCACCAAGCCAAGATGTGGAAACTTCATATAGGGAAATGAAAGCAACTTGAATCTTTCTACTCTTGTAATTTGAAAACTTACCAACTTAAGTCGCAAAATGGTAATAATCTAATTGAGATCCCATCTCTAATAGCAAAACTGGCCTGGTGTTGTGGCAGGAGCCTTTAGTCCCAACTACTCTAGAGGCTGAGGTGGGAGGATCACTTGAACCCAGGAGCTTAAGGTTGCTGTGAGCTAGGCTGATGCCATAGCACCATAGCCTAGACTAGCAGTTCTCAAACTGTGGGTTGCAACCCAGGAATTGTATTAGAGGGCTATGGCATTAGGAAGGTTGATAACCACTGGCCTAAAGCAACACAATGAGATGGTCTCAGAAAAAACAAAAATTTCATTAGCTTTTAAAAAACAAAAATTTCCCCACATTTCAAAGTCCTTGGGCTAGTTTGGAAATTTGGTCTTTATAATCGTTTTTTTTTTTTGCAGTTTTGGGCCAGGTTTGAACCCACCACCTCTGGTATATGGGGGCACCACCCTGGTCTTTAATCTTAAATGCTATTATGTATGTACAATTTAAGGGTGGCACTTGTGGCTCAGGGATAGGGTGCCAGTCCCATATGCCAAAGGTGGTGGGTTCAAGCCCCAGCCTGGGGCAAACTGCAACAAAATAAAAACATTAAAAAAAAAATTTAAACAAAAACTTGTTTAGTTCACTCAATAGACCAGATTTTTATTTTATCCAACCTCACAAAAGGTGCTAATTCCTGGCTTGGGATTTCTATGCAAGTATCAGATAGCTGGCCAATAAATACTTGTTCAAATATGAGAACCATTATATATCCCTGCATAACTTCGTAACAGATGGTAAGCATAGCTCCCAGTGGAGAACTACTGAGCTCAATGGCAATGTTAGCTTGTACAACTTGATTTCCCTTTGCCAGGGGAGCTAGAAAAAGGACATGCTCAAGCAATGAAATGGTAACAGCTTACTTCTACTGGGCCAAATTAACTCCTGTAGTGAGAACCTCTCTATTTTCATTAAGCCTTGACACTGAATGGGATACATTTGAACATGGCAAAAAGTATGGTATTAGGATTACTTCAACAGCTCACTCCTCCCTAACCTGAACAGCAACACACGTTATGGGTGGCACCTGTGGTTCAGTGGGTAGGGTGCCAGCCCCATACACCAAGGGCGGCAAGTTAGAACCGTACCTTGGCCAGCTAAAACAGCAGTGGCAACTGCAACAAAAAGTAGCCAGGTGTTGTGGTGGGGACTTGTAGTCTCAGCTACATGGGAGGCTGAAGCAAGACAATCACTTAAGCCCTAGAGTTGGAGGTTGCTGTGAGCTGTCAGGGCACTCTACCAAGGGCAATAGAGTGTAACTGCCTCAAAATTTATTGTTGCATGTTTTCTAAGCAGTGACGACACACCCACATAATGAATGCATTGGGCCTTACAAATTTAACTTATTAAGTGCTACTAAGGGATTAAAAAGGAGGCTGCTGGCTTGGCGCCTATAGCTCAACCGGCTAAGGCGCTAGCCACATACACCTAAGGTGATGGGTTCGAATCCTCAGCCCAGACCCGCCAAATGACGGCTGCAACCAAAAAATAGCTGGGCGTTGTGGCAGGTGCCTGTGGTCCCAGCTACTTGGGAGGTGGAGGCAGGAGACTCGCTTGAGCCCAGGAGTTGGAGGTTGCTGTGAGCTGTAATGCCACGGCACTCTACCCAGGGGGACAGCTTGAGGCTCTGTCTCAAAAAAGGAGGCTGAAGATTTTAGTTTACCACACAATTAGCTTATTTAACCCACATTTCTCATCCCCAAATCTGAAATGGTACAGCATGTGAAGAATCAATCTTTTTACCATAAATAAAATGAAGACAAAGCAAGCAGAACTTAAATGCAACATATTTATTTAAAAACCCATTCACAAAATAGAATAATTAATCAGGGCTGCAAGCAGCTCAAGTCCACTGCATGGCAGTGAGAATGAAGTACAAGTGGCTCAGATAAAGGTTGTCCTCACGAGGATGTTCCTGCAAATGGAAGAAGAGTTTATGAAGTATTTATATAAGCAGAGGTAAAGGATTCTAAAATTATGCTTTCTGAACTATCTTTGTAACTCATTGAGATTCTTATTCTTTTTTACTTTGGGAATGCAGAGTATTCTTGCTAATCATTATTTTATAAAAGCTTACCTTTTAGCCTTGAACTTGAACATGAGTTTCTGGGTTTTTTTTTTAAACAGTTGACAAGACTGTAGTAGACTCCTCCCTAGAAAAGTAAACAACCTTTAGAACTAGCTCTTTCTGAGATCAAATCCCATCTCAAGCTAAACCTCCCACCTCCCTTTAATGGCCCACCCATCCTCCCACCATTTGGGGAAAAGATTCTAATGCATTACTTTGAGCCACTGTTTTAAGAAAATGGGTCAATGGAAGGTTAAGAAATAAAATTAAAGGGCAATAATATATGACAAAAAATTAATGTGCTCACTTCCTTCAATTGGGAGCCCCCACAATAGGGTGTCAATTTAAAAGAATTCATCTCCAGAAAAACCAAAGTTCAGCTTAACTGGACTAGTTTTGGCTCAATACATTAAGAAAAATGCAACAAAACTGGACTTTAGGTTAACTATATGGATGTAAGTAAAATCTGTTCTTACCTACAAGCATAGCCAATAAAACCTTTCCTCCTGGTTCTGACTGCTAGTCCTAAGAGTCAGGTGTGCCTTACTCTTGTCTGCCTCCTTCCTTGCGATGATCACTCATACTTCACTCCCTCCTAGCTTTCATGGAGCGTGCCGTGGCCTGTCCCTGGCTTATCTGTACTCCACATACCACAAGTGTCTACTCTCAGCTGTAGAGTGTCTGAGCTCGGAGCCATTCGCG